AAAGAAAAGGGAAAACGGGAAGAGTGAGTGAAATGGATTTGAGCTCTCTGTTCACCACACCTGTTCCACTCAAGCTGTCAGGGAAAATCAATGTACAAATGTGGAAATTCCAAGTCCTGGCATGCTCCGAACAYGCATCCATGTGGATGATGCATCTCAGTGTGTCTGTCTGCACACACACCCCCTCTCAGTCTGCCAGAGATGCCACCCAGCTGAATGGATCACGCTTTAATAAGGATTTATGGTGATGATTTTCACAGTGTAATAAGTGCTAATTCAATCCTAATAGAATATTAAATGGCATGTTAACTGACATTTTAACTGCAAAGCAATAGGAGCATGGCATYAGCAAGATATCAATGGGCTCTTATCATTCACTAATAATCAATAATCGAGTTCACAGAGACAGTCAAATGCTTTTCATTAGGCTTATTGGAAGCATTACCATCAGCCTCAGTGAAAGCTAACAAACGATTTGTGAACCATMCATTATTCTTTCCCTTAAGGTTGCAGGTGGCATCTCTGATGGGGCTAAGGAAAGGACCAGTAAATGGTGATGGGCGTGCCTTGCATGATCAACACAAGAACCTGAGAACTGTTAAATTTGCACCATTTCAAACCACAGACACAGAAGGACAGAAGATCTTGCTGCCATGTCCCATTAGCCTTCCTTGCCCCCCCCCCGTAAACAAACACAGCCAAGTTTGGCATCTGAAGTTTTTTAGCAACAGTTGGATGTGGAGAAAAAAACCCAGGCCATCCTCACACTCTCATTTTCATCCTCACAGTCTCATTTTCCCCCCATGCAAATGCAGACAATGGGGCTGAGCGGTGCTACAGGAGGAAGGGGAGGGGATGATGCTTTGGCTGCAGGAGATTGCTTTTGGACATTCAGCAAGAACCATTGCCTTGGATGGGATAGAGAGCTGCCCACAGTTATTCCCTGTCCCTGGATTTCATGACACACAGGAGGAGGAGGAGGATGAACCAGAGCCCATCGGGGTCACTGTGCCTCCCAATGTGCTTCAGAGACAGCAGCACAGCAGCTTCTGCCTAGGCTGTGGAGATGGAGTGGGGCCATTTCATCCCTTTGGTATTTAGAGCCTAGAGTGATGAAAAGCAAGCCCTTCAGAGCCTGGTGAAGCTGTTGTTTAAATTATTAGTTTAACATGGAGATTTTACAGCATTATCAATGATGTATTGGGCTGCACTGAAGCTGGGGTAATTATTTGGTGTTTTTTTAATTGTTGTTGTAATTCCAAATATTTTTATTCTTTTTTAAAGCAGACCCAAAACCACAATTCTCTGCCAGAGCCCCACTAGTGAGAAGAAGAAAGCTGCTAGGATTAATGAAATATGGTGRGCTGCTTTGCCAGCAAACCACAGCTCTTRCCTCATTTTGAGGAAAAAAAAAATAAATACCAAGTTTATGGACTGCATTTCCTGCCCCCTTTCTCCAAAGGGTGTTGTGGTGACAGCTCTGTGCCATAATTCACACAGTCCTCTTTAATCATCTTTTCTCTGTTAACCCTTTGATCATCTCTTYTGTAAGACAATCTCTGTGCATCAGCCCAAAACCCAGCAGTCTGCTGCACACACAATTAAACACCCAAACCCACCCTGCTGCACTCACKGAGGGAGATGATGCCCTTTTGCCAGAGGATGCCACAACCTGCCCTGCATCAGATCTCTTTGCCTCAGCCCTGTGAAGAGCCTGCTCTAATCTTCTCGCTTCACATACCCTCACAAAATCCAGCTAACAACTTCCCCCACTGCCCTCTACCCCCAGCAGCAAAAAGGCAAGAGGGAAAAGAGAAAGGGATCAAACAGGGGCTCACTCGGCACAAAACAACATCATCTCCCGCCTGCCAGCTCTGAACACACAAGACAAATTTTCCGTTGTGTTGCAAAGTATGATCCTGGAAAGCTAATGTGGTGGTTAAACACAGCCTTGCTCCCAGCCTGGACAGGAAAGTTTAAGAGCAAATAATGTTTGTGCTGTTTAATCTTGTCACCTCGAGTTCTGGCAAACAAGAACTCGGACACAGCCATGGTCAGTCAGGGGCCCACGAGAGTCCAGCCCCTTCTGCTGTGCCCCAGCAGGAATGTGGGCAGAGAGGGATAGAGACAGACCACAGCTATGACAGCCCTAATTTCCCAGACAGGATTTATAGGGAAGGGTGCAGCCAGGCCCCACAGCACCASTGGACCCTGCCAGCATCTCCAGAGCAATGCAGGGCTGTCACTGCAGTCCCCATCAGAGGAGCAGTGAAGGAGCTGTTGGCCCTGGGTGGTTCC